CCTCTCGGTGTCGCGCCCGCACCTCGCTCAGCCAGTGAGCGGGAACCGGTCTGTATGTGGGATCCGAACCCTCGGGCGGGAGCGCCGCCGCACTTCCCAAGTGGCGCACTATCCAGTGCGCCACCGGGCCGGCCCTCTATATTTTCTTTTTAACTACAAAATTACTGCACACTTATTGTAAACGATTCAAGCCATACTGAAGTATAAAAAGAAAAAGGGAAAATATTCTTTCACTAATTTCACCCTGCCTCCAGCCCAGTCCCACTCCCCAGTGTTACAGCACTGTTAATAGTTGGGCACGTATCTTTCCAGATCTTCATCTATATACAGAAAATACACACTTGCATGAATATGAACTTGTGTGTGTATATACATGTTCATATAACACAGACACAGGCTGTTTTTTTAACTGAAATGGAATTATAAGAGATATACTGATGTGCAACTGGCCTTTTCACTTAACCAAGTATTATGCACATCTTTTATGCCAGCGGTTTATAGACATAGCACATTCTCTTTAGGAATGCATAGTACTGTCCACGGTATAAATGAGCCATGATTTTTTTCACTATTTCCACCATTCTGTTGATGGACATTTATGTGCTGTGATCTGGGTTTTAAGGTCTCACATGCCCTTGGGCACCCATTCCTGCAGCCAGTAGTCCTCTGAATCAGAAAGGACATTTCATGAACATCAGTCCGCAGGGGGGGAAATAATGTGATCATTGCATGTCAGCCTCGAGTCTCCCCACACGCTTGCTTGTTGAATTCTCTGCCCTGCATGTTGGCAGCCTCCGCTCTCCTTGTCTTCCAGTTCCTCGGAGGGTGGTACTTCTACGTTCAGGCCTACAAATCTCTGAGACACAGGTCAGCCAACATGGATGTACTCATTGTCCTGGCCACAAGCATTGCCTACGTATACTCGCTTGTCATCCTGGCAGTTGCTGTGGCTGAGAAGGCAGAGAGGAGCCCTGTGACGTTCTTTGACACGCCCCCCATGCTCTTCGTGTTCATTGCCCTGGGGCGGTGGCTGGAGCACGTGGCAAAGGTAACTATAGCTTCAGGTTAAGAAGATAGCTTCAGGTTGAGATTCAGTACTACCAATTTCAGTTCCTCTGAACACTGTTTAGAATTACTAACTATACACGATATAGAGACAGACTTAAGGAAATATGAAACCTCCATATAATTAGGTACTCCAGTCACTAATCTTCAAATTAGTCGCTACTTCTGAAATCCTGGCTAATCTGGTTAATTTTGAAATCTTTGTTCAGGTGTATTGTGTAATGGAAAGAACCCTGGACCTAGGTCAGAGCCCACATCGTCTCTTAGTCCATAACTGAGGATATAGTTTAGTGGTCTAGAAATCCACACTTCCACCTCAAGGTCACGCCATTTTTAACACCCTGCATTGAACCCAGCATTGTAACGTATCCTACAAAAAAGTGGGACTCAGGCCCTAAAGAGATTAGATTGAACCTAAAAGAAAAAGATAGTGGGCATCCTGGTCTTTTTTTCAATCTGAAATGTAATTCCTAGAACTCGGCATTACAGGCATCATCCATTCAGCGTGGTGATGACACACCATCCCCGCAGCATCTCCTGCCATGCAGTGTGGTTTTGTTAGGGAGCAGCGTTTCCTGAAGGGCTTTCTCTCACACCAGTCGCCTCTGCCAGGCTTGTCACCGTCTGGGTTTTGGCAGTTCAGCTTACGATAGCTCTCACTTTACATTCTGGTTATTTCCTAGAGCAAAACCTCAGAAGCCCTTGCCAAACTCATGTCTCTCCAAGCCACAGAAGCCACCATTGTGACCCTTGGGGAGGACAACTTAATTATCAGGTGGGTTGTGTTCATCAAAAGTTCATCAGATTTATAGCAACCTGTGTGATACACGGTAAAGACCCATTGTGTAGGGACATTGCACTAGACCAGTGAGGGCAGGCGGAGACAGGGTAACACCCTACATCTTAATCTGTTAAGCAGACAAGGCATTTAAATATTTAAAAACAAGAATTGGATGGAGTGTATGTATGCTCAATGTAAATGAGAGGTATGACTATTAGCATTCCAGAATTTAAAAGAGGAAGGCCAACAGTGGTCAAGGAAAACTTCACAGAGAGCATGGAATATGAACTGGGCCTTCCTTGCAAGATTTGGAGGACTCGGGTAGGCAGAGAGATAAAGAGTTTCAGTTTACCTAAGAATAAAAATGGGAGTAGTATTTATCTTCCTTTTAAAGTTGACTGATACTAAAAATAACTATTATCATTATTGCTGGAAACTTTTGTAGCATTTAATGTTGGTCAGACACTTATTCTAACCTCTTTGTATTTAATATGACCAGAAAAAAAAAAACACTTTATGAGGAAGGGACTGTTATTACCTTAACTTTACAGATGAGGAAACAGAGGTTCAGAGAGGCTGAGCAGCTGCCCAGGGTCACACAGGTATTAAGTAGTGGAATTGGGATATAGCGCAGGCTTTGGTTCCTGAGCCCACGTTCTTAACCCTTACACACACTGGTTCTTAAAGCATATTTAATAATGTGGAAGTTTTTACAAATTAAGGCTTTTGCATTTCCTTGGTTAGCCTCTTTTTTATATTCTGGCTAATGATTATTTCAGGCCTTCTTTGCGTTCCTGAAATCTCTCTGGCCTCACCCTTTCCCTTTTCCCCTGTGATCTCACTTCTGACTCCTGAAAAATAGAAGTCTTCGGATGGGAAATCCGTCAGTTTCCTGTCACTCACCCTCCCCCGACAGTCTTCTCCCACTGCGTCTCCTAGCCTCTGCTCAGGAGCCTCCCTCTGTCAATTTTCTCATTGGTCTTCGATGTCACCATCCTTGCTGGTTCTTACCATCCAGTTTGACATAGTCTCCAAACTCTCCTGTTGAAGCAAACAAGCCTCTGCCACCCTCTCCCACCATGTGTTTGCCCGCTTGTCACGCTGCTGCCAGCACCAGTTCGTGCACTATGTCCTCCGAGGACTGGTCCCTTGCTTCTTCGTGGGGTCTCCAGGGCTGGCACGGAGCAGGCCCTGGGCAAGTCTCTGGTGAGTGAAACATGGTGGAGGAGAAGTTAATGAAGCACAGGCTGACTGTCCATCAGCAGCACTGGATTTTTCCTAGATGCTGGTTTTTACGTAATAACCATAATTATAATAATAGCTGAGGGTTAAGTCCTTGTTGTGTGCCAGGTACACTACTCAGCACTTCACACAAATTCTCTAATTTAATCCCGATGACCATCCTGGGAGGTAGGTACTGTTATTTTCCCCATTTTCATTAGAAAGAATCTAAAGTTCTGTGAGGTGAAGTAACTTGCCTGAAGTGCATGGCAGGCTGAGCTGGGATGGGACCGCCGTAGGCACAGGGCCACCCTCTCAGCTACCATGTGCACTGTCTCCCAGACAGGAGGACAGAACAGTTGGCACTCCTGGGCTCCCACGTGCACTTGCCTGCTTCGGTGGCTCCACAGTAGCTACCCACTTTGGTGTATTTTTTTTTTTCTCTCATAAACTAATGACATGAAGGTTTCTGAGAAGCAAAATCGTTCTGCTGGGCACCAAGCCACCAGCAGCTGCGTGTGTAGTAACTCCGCCTTTCTCTGACTTGCCCTGCTGGACTCTGCTTTGCTCTCATAAACTAATGACATGAAGGTTTCTGAGAAGCAAAATCGTTCTGCTGGGCACCAAGCCGCCAGCAGCTGCGTGTGTAGTAACTCCGCCTTTCTCTGACTTGCCCTGCTGGACTCTGCTTTGCAGTTTGAAGACCTTCTGATGGCACCTACTACAGTTGCTTAGAACTGCTCCCGGTTCTGAACACAAGGACACGGGTATCTTTGCTGGAGCCACAAGCCAGCTGAAATGTCCAAGTGATGTGGGTTCTACCTGTCATAACTCAGCTCTTCTCCAGAGATGGTGATTCATTTTTTGGCTGTGGACACACTGTGGGCCTGGTTACTTACCATCGCGTTGTTTTTAAGTGAGGGGCCAGAAGACCAGAGCTCATTCTGACTTTGCCTCACATGGGTGGTGTGCTCAGAGTGCACCCATCAGTGCTTCTGTTGCACAGTCTGAAGTGGTCATTCCTATTCACCCTCCCAACAGGATGCTCCAGGCTACGGTCATACCTGCTCTCCCAGGGCCAAAGCCATTACCTCTGCCACCTGGACTGTGGCAGTCCAGGCCCCTTCTGAGGAACTTGAGCGTTCTGTCACATGAGGCATGCTGGGTGCCCTGGTGCTGTCGGAGCACCCCGTGCCTCAGGTTACCCTGGGACACACACATGGCAGAGGCTCACTAGTTGAATGAACAAGACTACTGTCAAATGCTAAGGAAACATTGCTACTCATGTGCATGTGCTTGATATTAAAAGGCTTGCACAATCTGGTCCCCAGTTTCCTGTTAAGTTTTCTGTTTCTTGTAATTCAGAGGTAGGGGGACAAAATTACAAATTTTAGCTAGACCAGTAGCCATTATATGTTTCTTCTTTGTGTTTGATGAGGAAGGAGAGTGGAGAGGAAGCAGGTGAGAAAAACAGACTGCTGGCAGAAACTCTGAAAGCTGAAGAAATACTAAGAAAAAGCCACCTTGTCTTTCACTTAAAAGAGTATTCTCACCACACAGCATTTTGGGGGAACATAAGCTTCTGAAGAAGAAATGCTAGTGGGAATTCACCGGAAGGAGCCGTATTAACTCCCATAAAGGACTGATCACCTTAAATTTAAGCTGTTCAGTGTTAGATGTGGTTAATTCAGATCAAAGGAGAAATGCAAAGTTAGATTAAGCAGAGATTAACATTACTGAAGATTTCTTAGGAAGGCACTCAGTTGGACATTTATACCAGTTTTCCTTAAGTACCCCTGTATAAGTGAACATTTAAAAACTTAGTAATTAGGCTATGCTGGAGGAGAAGGGCCTACTTTTAAGTCCTAGAGTCTTGTTTCAAAAGGGTCTGCTTTTAAGTCCTCAGTCTTTTGTTTCTAAAGTTTCTAGAGTGGCCTTACTCCTGCTCCCCACACAGGCTTCCCTTGCCATGTGGAGACCTCTGGGGTGATAAATCCTCCAAGTTGTGCAGATGAGGCCTCAGAAGGGCAGTGTGGGAGCCTGGACTTCATCACTGGAAGAATAAAAATATGCAGAGAATATTCTTGGTTGTAGAGATCATTCCCTTCTCACTTACTGCCCACCCCAGCCATCGAACAGATTTACACAGATCTGTTCCCAGCACTGAAGACTGCAGTCTTTAAAAGTCTCCTTTTCAGTACTCCATTCATTTTATTATTGCCATCATTGAAACTTACTGTCTTAACTGTCCATCTACGTGTCTGCTTTTAGAAATGAAGCTTTAAACCTCCTGAGAGGAAGGCTCCCCTCTGTCCAGGTTGTAACCCCAGCCTAGCATAGTGCCTGGTGCACAGAGGCCTGTCAGTAGTGGAAACACCAGATAGGTGATGATAAAAATCACTAGCATTTGTTGGGCACTTACTGTACATCAGGCACTGTGCTAAGCACTTTACATGTATCTCATGTAATTCTGGGAACAAAATCACCATTGTAGAAGGAAACTGGCTTTGAACCAGGCTGTTTAACTCTGAAGTTCCTGCTCTGGACCAGACCACACTGGGGCCCTGTGACTTGCCAGCACCTTTAATGAGTACTCTGGGCTCCAGGACGTCAGAGCCATGTCTGATTTGCTCATCTGTGTTTCTGGTATCTGGTGTAGACAGTGGCATGCAGTAAATGTCTATTTTTCCTTCTCAAATAAATAAGGTGGTTTTTTGTCCATTCCTTACTATGAGAGGTTAAACGTAGTCTTTGTAGGATGAAAGGGGGATATAAAATAACTGCCAAGCCCTGCTTGCTGTACGTGCCTGCTTTTCTGACCATCTCACCATTTGTTCCTGAGCCAGTGTTACATATATGCTTAATTATGTTTGGCTCATATGAAGCTTCTAGAGAGGTGCTGTCTGAGCCAACCTCTGGTCTCCTGGATGCCCTCCCTCTTTGTCACTCTATTCTGCCGTCCCCTCCTCCTCCCACACCATCTCTCCCTTTCTCTGCAGGACTCTCCCCACCAGCGTACAATTCACAATTTCCAGTTTTAATCCACTCTGCCTCCTGCTCTGTTTTTCTGTTCCCTTTCACAATGAACCTTCTTTTAAAGCTGACTTTAACTGCTGTCTTCGTCTCCTTACCTCAGGTTCTCTCTGCCTCTTCCAGTTGGGCATCTGCCTTCACCGATTTCTGAAGTTGCTGTGGCCAAAGCCATCAAATAATTTCCATGCACCCAAATCCAACCATTGCTTTTTTTTTAACATCCTCATTTCAGCGTCTCATCAGCATTTTCCCTCTTTTCTGTTCCTTTACACTTTTCTTCTTTTAGTGATGTGTACCTCCCACTCATCCCAAGTGTAGTGTGATGAATTTTTGCATCTGTTTGCCCTTGTGGAACTCCTCATGCAGCATCTGATAGAACTGAGGGATGCGCGCCACCCCCTCCTCCCTCCCTTGTTTCCTCCTATGTCACTGGCTGCTCCTTTGCTGGCCCTTTGGCTTCTGCTCAGCCTTCCAATATTGGAGTGTCCTAGGGCTTAGTTCTCAGACCCCTTCTCTTTTTCATTTTCTCTCCTGGGAAGCCCAGACCATTCCATGGCTTTAAGTACCATCTGTGTGTTGACAACTCCCAGATTTGTGCCTCTAGCTCTTACCTCTCAACTCCAGATTCATATTGGCAGTTGACATTTCTATGTGGAAGTCAAATAGGCATCTCAAACCCCACATGTTCGAATAAAGCTCTTCATCACACCCTTCCCCGTCTCTCCCCTCACCCTCCCTCGGCTGCTTCTCCATATTGTCTCCATCTCATTAAATGATGTCTCCATCCATCTGGTTGTTCAGAATGAAAATTTGGAGCTCATATTTCATTATTTTCTTTACCCCCACATTTATATACATCTGGTTGATGCATACCTTAAGACTGTCCAGGGTATTTCTCTCTCTGTCTGTGGCTCACGTCACTGCCGTCTTTTGCTGGGCTGCTGCAACAGCCTAACTGTTCTCCTAGGTCCGTGATTGCCCCAGTAGCCCATTCGCATGCTGCAGCCAGAGAGAGAACTTGGAAATTTGAATCAGATTATGTCACTTTCCTGCTAAAAATTTTACATTCAAAGCCCATACTCTGCTCTAGGAGACCCCACATGATCTGGACTCAGCCCGCTTCTCTGAGCTTAACTTACCCTTCACTTACTTCCTGCCAGCCATGCTTGCTTGCCTCCTGTGTCTCAAATGCATCCTTCCTTCCTGCTTTAGGGCCTTTACATTAGCTGTTTTCTCTCTCTTGAACTTTCTTTCCCCACGTGTTGGACCTTCTTGTTATCCAGGTCTCAGCTTGAATATCATCTTCCAAGAGAGACCTTCCCATGTCTCCCCCAGCCCGTTCACCTAGAGAAGCCCTCCAGTCACATCCTGGTTTATTTTCATCATAGCATTTATTTAATACCTGATACTGATAGGAACATTTCTATCCCATTCACAGCTGTATCCCCAGTGCCTAGAACAGTGCTTGGCACTTAGTACCTGTGCAATAAATATTGACTCAATCTATAAATTAATGGATAAATTGAATACTGTTGCTCGGTGTAAAGCAGGTGTAGTGTAACTAGTCCAACAGTTGGTCTAGAACCTGAGCTGGGTGTCAGACCAAGAGGGTAGCCTGCTATGAGTTGCTGTGTGAGTGACTTGATTGGCTTTTGTTGCAGAGAGGAGCAAGTACCTATGGAGCTGGTGCAGCGGGGTGATATCATCAAGGTTGTCCCCGGGGGAAAGTTCCCAGTGGATGGGAAAGTCCTAGAAGGCAGCACCATGGCTGACGAGTCCCTCATCACAGGTTAGGTGACTTCTTTCATGTTCCCTTCTGTGGGTATCACTGCAGTTGCCAGGTCATGTGAATGCTGAATGGGGCTGGGCAGGTGACTGTTGTCTCTCTTCTCCACCTCTAGGAGAAGCCATGCCAGTCACGAAGAAACCTGGAAGCATCGTGATTGCTGGCTCTATAAATGCACATGGCTCTGTGCTCGTTAGTGCCACCCATGTGGGCAGCGACACCACTTTGGCTCAGATTGTGAAATTGGTGGAAGAGGCTCAGATGTCAAAGGTAATGAAGAAATTTAAAACATTGTAGCTTTGGTTCCTCATTTTAGAAATTATTTCAAGAGTCCCATAGAAACAGTTTTATTGAGAGATTGATTAATAAACATAGTGAATGAGGGAGATAAGAATCCTACTCCTTATCCATGCTTGTTGGTGTCCTGTTTCTTCATAAGTGGTAATTTCCCATGGTTTTCATGTTTTATCTTCACAGGCACCCATTCAGCAACTGGCTGACCGGTTCAGTGGATATTTTGTCCCATTTATCATCATCATTTCAACTTTGACGTTGGTGGTGTGGATTGTAATCGGTTTTATCGATTTTGGTGTTGTTCAGAAATACTTTCCTGTAAGTGGAATGCCTTGGGCAGTATGGTTGTTGTGTTTTAAATAATCTACTGTCATTACTCCTGTTCTTTCATGTCTTAGATTCACTGGGCTTTAATTATTCATTACATTTTATTTGCTTGCTTCACTTATTGGCAGCAAAATCTAAGCCAGGGTAGGACAGTTGGTCACTCTACTTCTGCAGGTTTTTATTGAACATGGCCTTTGCTTTCTTTTTTTTTTTTTTGTCTTTTTTTTCATGTCCGGCAACGGATCGCAACCCTCAGTGTCGCTCCCGTACCGGGCCGGGACCGGCAACGGGATCGCAACCCTCGGTGTTGCGCCCGC